TTCCTTGATGCTACATGAGAAAGGTGATCTGTACGCCATTTTATCCCAAGACCATTTCAAGCCATACTAACGTGAATCACACAAACATTCTCTTGCTTTAGCTCACTTGAAGTGCTTGCTGTCTCTCATAGGGCTTATCTAAATTACATATTTTAATGAATTTTATTATTTTCAAGTGATACAGTAAATGAAATTAAACTAATCAAGTGTTGCAGCCTAGAAATTCTACCTTAATGGCTATAATCAGCAAATCTAAATCTCACTGGTTTGACTGTTAATTAAATATCAACAGTAAATCAACTTCCCTCAACAATGCTATTTGCCTATTTATTTGTTCGTTCTTTCATTTCACTAAGATGAAATTTAATTTGCTGTTGGTGTATATATTTCAAAATTTGGAAGAGTGACGTTATACAATTGTTTATCCATTGTTTATCAATAAGGACTTACCTGATGTGATTACATGTATCACCCATTGTAAGAAACTCATAAGAAAAAATATCAAAAAGAGGTACTTCACTTTCCTTTCTTTTAATTGATACCAAAGTTAGGAGTTTCTAACATTAAATGTTCAACTAATTTAACAAAAGCTGACTTAAAAAAAACCTATTTTGCTTAAAGTTCTCATATATTATCTCACTGGAGTAGCAAGTTTAAAAAAAAAACAACAGCTTAAGACAGGAAGTTAATACCATCCTTAGAGGTGAGAGTCGGGCTTAAATTAAGCTTTTGTCTAAAGTTGTAGAATCCAGGAAGAGTACATTGTTCCGTGCCTTGCTTTTAACTGACTCACAGTTTGACGGACATATTCTATAGGGAAAAACTTACTTCTAAACCTATTCTTCCCCTTGGCAGAGGAAGATTTTTTTTGTCCTGAAGCATTAATTGATCAGGGAGCAAACATTTGCAGAAAACTTATTTGATATTTGATCTCTCCTTTTGGAAAAAAAAATGGTGAGAGGGTAAGGGGTTTTTAGGTAGAAAAGGACCTTGAATTTCAAAATTCAACTTGTCTCAAGGTTTATTTTGTTGGCTACTGGATAGTCTTTAGTAACTCTTAGTGAAAAAGAGAATTGTGAGTTATTTCCAATGGTAAAATGGTTCCATATTTCATTTTATAGTATTTCCAATTGCAAATGAATTTCATCATTGATTTTTCCTTTACTTGTAGGTAGAGTGAGGTAGATGGAAGTCCTATAGTGCCCAGAGTAAGCTTTAACAGCAACAAAAAATTGTCTTGTGTTCTATATAATTTTTCAACGTCCCACATTCATCTTTATAGGCAGAAAACACATTTATACTTAATGAGCTTTAAAGCTAGGTTTTATATATAAACAGAAGTTCACTTTCACATTCTTTAATATTCATTACATTTTCCAGGAATTTAGCTACCGTGTAAATTAAGAGATGATTAACTTGTTTAGTTTGGACTTTCACTAAGAGTTGTTCACTGTTTCATAAAATTACATCTTCAGTGACAGCAGGTCATATGATATCTGTATACTGTGTGGTATACAGCATGACTGTATCAGTGTACATTTGTGGATCTCACAGTCACAGGGTCTCTAGGCATGTATAAATGTTAATAGATGCATATATGTGCATATGTACATATCTACCTGTATATGTATGTGTATACACAAATATATAAGCACCCATATACATATATACCCAAGTCTTGTGTTAAAATGAAAATGTAAAGAAAACATCATATTCAGTTTAATACTGAATTTACTGTTTAAATATAAACTTCATCTGATAACTTCATTATATCATTTAATGTAGGCATGTCTGAAACATTTATATATTCAATCAGCTATTTATTATGAATATTTATTTCTCCTTTATATTAAGTGTAAGCATCATATATCATACTTGGGAAATTATGTATATAAAAAGGCTATATTATCTATGACTTTTCTTTAACAATAATAAAAGGGAGCAGTATAAAATATTTCTTATATTGGGTCTGATAGGACTGGAAAGCAACACTTTATAGGTCCATGCCGCCAATGGGCTCCCCACTAACCAGCATGATCTTCCTACCCTCTGCTGAAAAGCTAGTAATCGGGACCGCCTTCCATGCTCACATGTCCACTTTCACATCAGACTATGAATCATTGTTCAGATAGCACTCTGTCTGCTTATTTGATTTTCGCCCATTCTAGACTGCAAGCTCCCAGATAGTGGGGTCCTCGTCTTACTTTCTTCTCAAGCCTGGGGTCTAGCACACTGACACACAGTAAATGCATATAGAATGAATGAATCTGCTTAAGAAGGGGGTTACCATACGCCTTTTTTGGAAACAGCAAAATGAATTAAGTCAATTCTCATTAACATTTGAGAAAATATGCATGGACTTCTAATCAGTTAAACAGAAAAAGCAAGCTACTCTTTTTGCAATGTAGGTGGATAGCTGAGTGTCATCAGCTGTCTTGCTATGGATCCTTGAGGGGCTCCCAGCTCAGGCCACAGTGTTCAGAGCACCTCGGTGAAAACCCAGCTTGGAAAACACTGGGCTAGGTGACCGCTCATCCAAGTGATCTCTAGCTTCATGACTTCAGGATTTGCTATTTCATCTTGGAGTAAAAAGCTCACAGTGTTACATTTTTTCATATTCATATAATGAAACTTCCCAAATTAGGCTATTTGAATTCAAAATCTCCTTTCCCTGGAAGCATTTCTGTTTTTTTTTTTAGCCTAAAACAAACATGGATGCTGAATATTTTTAGTACTCTTATTATCTGACATATTATACATTTTTGGAAAATTATTATTCTGAAACATCACTATATGCTAAAACACCTGACTCTCTCTCTATGTGTGTGTGTGTGTATACATACATATATATATGTAAATAGCTATATGATATAGTTTGTATATAAGAAGAATATCTTCATTGTCACTTCATTGTCACTCCTGTAAATGTATGAAGTGGTCCCATCCATCGATGGCCTTGTTCCCTTCACAGCTGACCCAGCCCAGTCTCAGCCCTTCCAGATCTCCCTCTATTTGACACATCCTAGATGCTGACATACTTCCCCCACCACATACCCCATGCTCCTGTGCTTTGTAACCCAATAACAGTCCTCAAAATACTTCTTTTCCATTTTCCATTTCTTCAGGATTCCTAGCTTTAACTAGGCTAATCAATAACTACTGTAAGGTAATGAACACTCAATAGCTATTTGTTAAATAATGATTAATAGGAGAGTTACTTGTTTTGTATTGTCAAACTGTCATTTTATTCTTATTTGTTTGATGGGATATAGTCAGTGCTGTGGAGTAAGCCAATTGTGAATAATCGAGGCATTTATGGATTAATGTGGTAAGATGTAAGTTTTTAAGGGAAGACTTCATTAACAAACAGGGGCTGTAATCCAGGGGTGAGAAGGAAAAGCGAAGTTATCTTTGGCAAGCAATTATTATGTACCTGGTACTGGGCTGGTTTCTTCAGACATGCTGCTTTATATTTAAAAATCACAAGGACCTACCTTCACAGTTTTACAGAAAAAAATGAATTATTAGAGTTAGACCTCTGACTGGAATACAGCGATTAAGTGGCACAAAGGAGAATCAAACCCAGGTCTGTCTGATCCCAAAGCCAGATCTTTTTCATATCACAACACATCTTAAAAGAGTGAGAAGCAGTTTTGGGAATATGTGGAATTTATGAACTCATATTGGAGAGGTCAGTGGGCATTCCTTTCTCTGTGGCAAACTTCCCCTTTTCCTTGATGCTACATGAGAAAGGTGATCTGTACGCCATTTTATCCCAAGACCATTTCAAGCCATACTAACGTGAATCACACAAACATTCTCTTGCTTTAGCTCACTTGAAGTGCTTGCTGTCTCTCATAGGGCTTATCTAAATTACATATTTTAATGAATTTTATTATTTTCAAGTGATACAGTAAATGAAATTAAACTAATCAAGTGTTGCAGCCTAGAAATTCTACCTTAATGGCTATAATCAGCAAATCTAAATCTCACTGGTTTGACTGTTAATTAAATATCAACAGTAAATCAACTTCCCTCAACAATGCTATTTGCCTATTTATTTGTTCGTTCTTTCATTTCACTAAGATGAAATTTAATTTGCTGTTGGTGTATATATTTCAAAATTTGGAAGAGTGACGTTATACAATTGTTTATCCATTGTTTATCAATAAGGACTTACCTGATGTGATTACATGTATCACCCATTGTAAGAAACTCATAAGAAAAAATATCAAAAAGAGGTACTTCACTTTCCTTTCTTTTAATTGATACCAAAGTTAGGAGTTTCTAACATTAAATGTTCAACTAATTTAACAAAAGCTGACTTAAAAAAAACCTATTTTGCTTAAAGTTCTCATATATTATCTCACTGGAGTAGCAAGTTTAAAAAAAAAACAACAGCTTAAGACAGGAAGTTAATACCATCCTTAGAGGTGAGAGTCGGGCTTAAATTAAGCTTTTGTCTAAAGTTGTAGAATCCAGGAAGAGTACATTGTTCCGTGCCTTGCTTTTAACTGACTCACAGTTTGACGGACATATTCTATAGGGAAAAACTTACTTCTAAACCTATTCTTCCCCTTGGCAGAGGAAGATTTTTTTGTCCTGAAGCATTAATTGATCAGGGAGCAAACATTTGCAGAAAACTTATTTGATATTTGATCTCTCCTTTTGGAAAAAAAAATGGTGAGAGGGTAAGGGGTTTTTAGGTAGAAAAGGACCTTGAATTTCAAAATTCAACTTGTCTCAAGGTTTATTTTGTTGGCTACTGGATAGTCTTTAGTAACTCTTAGTGAAAAAGAGAATTGTGAGTTATTTCCAATGGTAAAATGGTTCCATATTTCATTTTATAGTATTTCCAATTGCAAATGAATTTCATCTGTGAGATACAGGAAGTTTATGAAGCAACCATGCCTTTTTTTCTTGGCAGTTATAACAGATTCACTTTCATAATTGCAATCGTTCAGAAAATAATATTCTTAAGCATCTTAAGCAGCTCTTACCTCATCAGAACCAGATCCAAAAATCAGTAAGTCAAAAGGAATCGCTGCAACCATGTCAATCAGGAACCAGCCTTTGAAGTAGTGTATTGCTATTTTGGCTGGATCACTTACCACCTCTTCGTTCTGATTTACATATGTTGTTCTGAAGTTGATTAGAATATCTATGATAAACATAATATCCACAATCAAGTCTACCACGTTCAAAGGGCTGCAAGAATAGCCACATTCGCGTCTTTTCTGTTCTTCTCTGTCATTGAGGAGGAAGGCCGCCGAGTACGGGGTGAATATAGCAGTGTATATGACCAGCAGCAGAATAAGCCAGTCCCAGACGGCCTTGAAAGGGCTGTAGTGCAATATTGTAAACTTGTTGATGCGCGGCGTCTGCAGTTTATATTCTGGCAGGACATCTGCTCCTAAAGAGAGAACCTGAACAGATAAAAGAGAATCTTACAGTACATAAAAATGCCATTATTTAATCTCCAAGCCTATATAAATATTAAGGTTCTTATACAGAAAAATGTATTAGAAAATTTCACGTCGTTTTGAAGTATTCATGAAAAGCACACTATATAAAGGAACCCATAAACATCCCGAGTATATAGCATATTTGACCCTGACATTTCTTGATAAATATGATTTCCACTGAAAAATGAATATTGTCACTGAGATACCAAGGAATGGTTACTGGATACTTTGAAACATACTACTACTCAGGAAACAAATTTGTAGCTGTTTTTAGAAAATAATAAAATCAGTTTGATACGTGAGTAATTCTGTTTTCAAACCTAAAAAAAGGATTGGCTGTAATGAATTGAAGCAGTGTACTTGGATCCATGGTCATATTTAATTTACATATATTTAATTTATAATTAAACTTTGTTAAATTAAACCCAACTCATTCAAATCTTTAATTAAAAATTTCTCACCTGCAATCTGTTTTTAGCATTAGAAAAAAAGGCACATGAGATTAAAATAAACACAAAGCCCTTTTTTTTTTCCTAAAAGGTTGAGAGAGTACTTTGTATTCTGGGACAAATACACTTGCACTCCAACTTCTCCGTCACATTTAGAGAACCGTGAAGAGAGAATGGAGCCAGAAAATGTTCAGAATTTTAATCTGGAAATGTTGCAAGATTCTTAGCAACCGAGGAGTACTTAAACTCTAAAATTTATTCTCCTGAGTAAGGTGTTGGATAGTGAAATAGTTCACCTTTTATAGTCCCAGTTTATCTGAAAAAATGAGAGCTAAACTTGAGTTGCTGTGACCCAATAAAATAGTTCATGAGGTGATGATGTTAGACCAAGTTTCAAGAATAAAGATCAAAACAGAAAGGTTATCTAGCTACCCAGGAAATGTAATTAGCTTTAATATATGAGTTTTAAGTAATTTAAAAATCTTAATCACTCCACAAATGGCACATGGAAGCATTTTTTTAAAGGGAGGGGTAGTTTACAATCTCTTTTTGTGAATATCTCTGCAGTGGCCCTATTTCAGTTAATTTCATTACATAAATTTTCTTGAGACTAAATTCTTCTAAGCACAGTTGATACATTAGCTTCGCAGCATGGATCTCAGGCAAACCTACATTGATTAGTCAAAGTGTGTTATTTCTGTGTTCTTGGTAATTCTATCCATGTAGGTTTTAACTTGGTTATAACAATAAATTATCTCAGACAAATTTCAATTTTAAATCTTATTTTCATAGTCATAGTTCATATCTTTTTTCCCACATAAAATGTTACCATTCCTATTTTAAAAAGAACTTGAGAAATCAAATAACAGCCTCAAATGAGGTACAACATGACTTTTAAATGTACCAAGAGTTCAGTTAAAATAGAGAAAGCTGTTTTCAGATAGCAGCAAACTGATTTTATTAGCTTTGAAAAAGAAAATAATAGAGAATCTAACCATTTTTTTCGGCCCACAGTAAATGTGAACTACCAGTATATGGAGGATACAGGGCTGTATTTTAAGCTATTAAGAGGAATGACAGGAATTAATTATTAGTAAAATAGAAATCTGAAAAATAAAGTGATTTTATTACTTATGAAATACTAAAAATCCTCAGAATCCAATATCTGTATCTATACCTATATCCATATCTATATTTGTATCTGACTTCCAAGATCCAAATAGGAATGATGTTTGGCTAATCTGTCACTTGATAAGCACAGACTGATAGAACTCCAGGCCTCTTATGCTTAGTACACAAAATGAGTGGGTGATATTTTAGTCTAGAAAGAATGGATCATCTCTAAAGGTGTCATTATGTCATTATGTAATATTCCATTCTCAAAAACCAAGCACTACTCAGAATATAGAAAGTAAAATCCAAAACATTATTTTGGCCTTCAAAGTCTTCTAAAATAGGGACATATGCAGTCTTTCCAGCATCTTCTCCCATTGGCTTCCTCTATGAACACAGTGTACTCTGGCAAGACATGACCAACATTTTTGAGCTGCTGAAATCTTCCTAAGTCCCTAAATTCATACATTTATCTAATTAAAAAAGGGAATGTAGATATCCAAAGAGAACAACATAAAAGTCATTTTTAAAGGAGGTTATTTATCTGAGCTTGCTCCGTGTTAAGTGACATGTTTCTGATACCAACTTCTTACATGGGGCAAACTAAATACTTGTTTTTTAGCAGAAGGTTAAGTTAGAATGCATACAGCACCACGGGACTTCCTCTGAGAAGGAAAAACTGTAGATGGAACTTGTTCCATCCTACCTATGCAACAGTCATTTACCAGTTGGATGAGTACTGGGCAAAGAGGTGGAGACAGAAAAATAGGGAAGACAATGCAGACATCATGGAGTTTATGGTTTATTAGAAGAGACAGATATGAAGGAAAATGGGAGTCCTGTGGAGCTCGGGCACTGTCTCTGGTTTAAGTGGTGGCACTGATGAGGGGGGAGGTCTCCACCGAGGACTTTTGGGAAGAGATGGCACTTGAACTGAAACTTTGCATAGGAGACAGAAAAGAATGCACCTGGGGATTGAAGAAACTGGAAAGGAAAAAACAGTAGAGGTAGAGAACAGAAAGAACAAAGGTAGGGTGGCAGGAAATGATGTGTGTTCAAGAGTTACAAGCTGTCTTCCATTGCTAATGGATAAAAAGCAAGGGATATAGTGATGGGGGAGGGAAACGGAGAGGGGAAGCGACAGGCTGTGGGAAATTCAATGTGACGTGATAGGATTCACAGGATTTTTTCCTTTAGGTCGGAGTGTCTCATACTTGAATAAGATAAAGACTCCTTTTAAGGGAAAATTAGTTTTTGCAGAACCCCAGTTATGATTTATATTATTTTTACTTATAATGTTAGGTTAATATGTACAAAAACCTAGGTCAAAACTTCTTATGCTTTATACCTCTTAATATGACTGTTGTGGATTGAATTGTGTACCCCAAAAAGATATGTTGAAGTTCTAATCTTTGGTACCTGTGAATATGACCCTATTTGTAGATGTAACCAAGTAAAGATGAAGTCACAGTGGATTGGGGCTGACCTTGATGCTACAACGGGTGTCCTTATAAAAAGAGGAACATTTAAGTACAGAGACACAAAGACACACAGAGAGACTGCCATGTGACAATGAAGGCAGATACAGTTACAAGCCAAAGAACACCAAGGGCTGGTGGCAGGCAGCAGAGCCCAGAAGAGAAGCATGGAATGCATTTTCCCTCAGACCCACCAGAAGAAACCCATCTTGCCAATACCTTGATTTTGGAGTACCAGACCCCAGAATTGTGAAAGAATGCCTTCTGTGTTTTAAGCCACCATTTTTTGGTCTTTTGTTATGACAGCCCCAGGAAACTAATGCAATGACAGAAAGTGACAACAAGTTATTAAAATATGTGCAAAACTACTGAATTCAAACTCTCATCACTGACACATATGTTATGTCAAAAATGATATGGCTATTCATGTGATTTGATCTAATAGGCAAAATTTTTTCATCTATTCTAACCCCAATGCCTTTTTGTAGAAGTATGTTGTTAAAAAAGTAATACAATCCTTACAGATTTTATGACTGTCTTAGGGTAATCTAAACCTTAATTCAAATTCTTCTTCTACTAGGCTTAAGAATCTCATTTAAGTGGTGTTACCTGATACTGTATAAAAGTTTTTGTCTACTTCAAGTTCAGATTAACTTTGGGGGATTATTGTATTCTACATTAAGTGGTTATTTAATCAAATTATCTCTGGAATTGGGTTCATAAAGGTAATTAATTTGTTAATACTGAACCACTGAAATTTGGTATGTACAATATGGAGTGTGTATTGACAATGCATTTGAAGTGATAGGTTTGGGCCAAACATTATGGTACAAGTTCTTTTGACTTCTGCATAGCTCTGTCTGTGTAGTATGATCACTTAACTCTCATAAATCTTACTAACCAGAGGACTTCAAAAACTTGCTTATATGGCCTGCTTTAGTATCATGAGTTCTCACTGTAAATCCAAATGCATTCGTAGGCACTGGAGTCAGATAGGTGGCAGTATTCTTTTATTAAGTGATTACATCGTTCATTTGGAAGATCATTCATACTGTGTCAGGTTTTCACCAAGACTCAGAAATTTGTGAGATTTCCCAGGAGAACTTCTGGCTGTTTGAGAATGTTTCTTGCCATGGATACTGGTTTGAGAATTGCCGAAGGGTACCAGGAAGAGAAGGTAAGGTGGCCAAGTTTAGTTTTAGGTAAATGCATCTGGCAGTGGGAGGGAAGAGAAACCAGAGGGGGCAGGACCAGAGGCTTAGACATAATTAGGACTTTGGTGCTAAGAAAGAAAGGGAAATAAAAAGGGGCCAGGAAAGCCTGTGTAGAAGGGCAGGTGGCAGAGATGGAGAGGGGGACACAGCTGAGAAATAAATACATCTCAGTGTGAGGATGGAGAGCAGAGAAACGTTTGTTTCTTTATGGTTCTAGTAATAAGTCTTATTAGAGGCAGTCTTAGTAATACAAATATCTGAAGGCTCAATCACATTTGGAATAGGGGAAAGAGCCGAAGACTTCAAATTAAAAGACCTGGGTTTGAGTTCCAGATACAATTTTTATGATAAGTTATTTAATCTCTTGTATCTCAGTTTTTTTATCTGTGTAATGGTGATAATAATCTTTGCTCAGATCATCTATCTATACAGACCTATCATGTCCCATCAGATACTTTCTATAAACATAGCTGATAAACTGGGAAATAGTTACATAGAATAATTTCATTATTGTTTAGAGTTCTAGGGTTACTTACTTAAATCCTGATTCAAACAAACCAACTATAACCAAAACATTTATGAACCAGCTGGGCAAGTTGAACATATCCTAAATATATAGTGATAATATTAAGGAATTGTTTCAGTTATCCACTCATTGGAATAAACTGAGCCAAAACATGGTGGCTTAAAACAATAGTCCTTTTATT